ACCCATTCATGTTCTAAGAACAAAAAATGAAAACTTCTAAATGTTGGAAGCAATTTGTGAAATTTGAATATGTAATCTGACTGAACCTCTTTAGTATTATATCAACAAGCTAATTAAGAGAAAATGCTTTAGCAATAAGTTCTTAGAGAAAGTTAAAAATAAACTTAATTTAATCAAAAATAACATGAACTCATCTCATAATCTTTTGATAAAAAGTGATTTTTTTTACTCTTCTAGAGTGATTTAAGTAGGCTTTCTTTCTGATATCATTCTTTCTTAACTTCAAAAGTTGTGAGGAATCATCCAATTATCCCAGACTCAGGTTTCTAATATAATTCTTTTCTAAAAGATCAGGGCTCCACAGTGTCTCTGTCTTGGACTTCTTGTTGCCTTCTGAAAGTAAGACTCTCATCAGAAGAAATTGCAGTAGAACTAAGGAGACAAGAAAGTTGGCTGACAAGAGGATTTTAGCAGGCAAATAATAAAATGTAGGCTTCCAAAAAGTATACAATTAATTGGAACAAGTTTGAAATAAGTGAGAACTCATGCATCTATAATGAATCTCAAAAAGCAAAATAAGGTATATTAGAGAAAAAATATACTGACCAGTGAGTCTGTAAGTGCCCAATTTTCCTCCAAAAGAAGGATAAAGGGGGACAAATCATTCAGTTGTTGAGCAAGGATTATGCTCCATATTTTGTTTGATTGATACAATATAACCCCCTCATTGGGTAATTTCAATGGTTATTGCAGTTTGCCTGACATAAATGTAATATTTTATCTGCTTAGTTGATGGTTCAACACTGAATCTTAGGTCATAATGTGAAAAGCAGGAATAAAGAAACCTGAGACTTGTGCATGCTACCTGCTCCCAGGGCACACTTCTTGCCTAATTTGATGCTCACTCCATATCTGTATGTGTTCAGGAGAGCTTTGGAGACTTGAAAAACCATAGCTCTGTATAAGGCGCTATGGTGTTCTGCCTCCCTTTTCTTGTAACTATCCTTGTACATCCTCTATATCTTAAAGAAACTGAACATGTCCCATATGTGTCTTTTCACCAATCTAACAATTATCCTATTGGGACAATCACACATAATCCATCCAAAGAGCTCTCTCTTACCCACTCTTAGACTAAGTTAAATTATGCTGCCTACTCACCTTTGTACTTCAAATAACCCTATTTTACAGCAATTTTCCCATTTGCTGTTGATGGTTGTTTATATGTCATCATGTAAACTTCAAATTCACAAAGGGTAGTATCTAAGTTTTCTCTTTTTTCTTTTTATTAACATTCCCTGCACCAACATCCTTTCTGCAATAAATGTTTGAATAAATGAATGAATAAGAGAACGAGTTACCTTTTCTTCCCTTCAATGTATCAGTTTACATACTCCTCCCCAAGTAAGTTCTTTATTTTCTTCCTCTGAGTCTTTGCTCCTGTTTTGTCATCTGTAGTGGGTTGAATTATGTTCTCTCAAAGATACATCCAAGTCTTAACCATTTGCACCTGTGAATGTGATCTTATTTGGAGAAAGAGTTTTTTCTGATGTAGTTAAGATAATGATCTCAAAATGAGATTATCCTGGATTAGAGTGTGTCAAAGAAAAATCGCACTGAACAAATTCAACAGGCAAAGAAGATTGTAATCAAGACTGTTGTAATAGAGGAGCGAGATTAAATTCAATTTCCCTAGAACAAAAGACAGGAGAATTTTAAAGTGCAGGGGAAAGCTGGTGGAAAAGCGATTAGTTCAATGTGATGTGTTTGCTAATTGTCACTTATCCAGGGTAGGCTCCTAGACCTCCCACAGAGATCTTTCTTGATTATTTCATTTCAAAAAGATGGCTGCAGGTTCTTGAGAAAGACATTCCTGGGTTATAAAACTAGCAAGAATCTGGGATATTTACATTTCAAAGGGGCAGAAAAGAATTTACAAATAAAATTTTCTAAAGTAAATACTATACTGCACTAAGAAAAGGGAGGCCAGGGTCTAGAGCCAGAAGGATACCTGTTAAAAGTTTAGTAAAGCTGGGGGGAATGTTAAGACTGTCGTCTTCATGGGGGCCTTAAATCAAAAGGCAGGATACTTATATAACCTTATATAAGAAGTGTTTTTATAAGAAACAGAAGAAAGAAGACACAAACGTGGAAGAAAAAGGCCATGTGAAGACAGACAGAGAGAAGAGTGATGTGACTATAAGCCAAGAAATATCAAGGATCGCCAATAACTACTGGAAATTAAGAGGCAAGGAATGGATATTTCCTCAAAAGCTTATAGAAAAGCCAATGCCGCCAATGCCACCAACACCTTGATTTAGAATTTTTGGCCTCCAGAACTACAAAAGAATGCATTTCTGGTTTTTGGGTTTTTCCAAGTTTGTGGTAATTTGTTAAGGCAGCCCTAAAAAATGAGTACAGCATTTTTCTGAAAAAAATATCTCTCTAGTTCTCACTTAACTTCAAACGTCAAAATTCCATATCTTGTAAAATGCTCACAAAAATTTTCTTGTCCTCCACTTCTTTTTTTTATAATTGATGGTACCAACTCAATGCTATGGTTTCCTCTTCTGAATTCTTTTGAAAATGGAGATAAGGATATTCCAGATGAAACTTCTTCTGTATTTGATTCATGTCTAATCCCTTTTTAATCTTTGTGAAAACATAACAAGACAGGTGCTATTATTTTTTTATATTGAGGATAAAGAAATGAAAGAACAGAGGGATTACATAACACTAAGTGGCAGAACCAAAGTTTGCTTTGAGATCTAAGTACAGAGCTCATATGCTTAAACATTTTACTATATTTTTCTGTTCATGTCTTTGAATGTTTACCTCCCTCGTGTCTCATGCTGTCTTATATTATAACTGTGCATTTTTATTTTCTAGTATAAACTATTCAACTGAGGTAACTAGAAACCACAGGTGCACAAGCACATCCATTTACTTTCTATTTTACTTTACTTTATTTATTTTATTTTATTTTTGAGTTGAAGTCTCACTCTGTCGCCCAGACTGGAGTGCAGTGGCACGCTCCCAGCCACTGCAGCCTCGACCTGCTGGGCTGTGGCAATCCTTCCACATCAGCCTTCAAAGTAGCCAGAGCTACAGGTGTGAGCTACCTTGCCCAGCTAATTTTTGATGTCGTGTAGAGATGATGTCTTGTCAAGTTGCCCGGGTGGGTCTTGAATCCACAGGTTCTGGTAATTAACTCTCCTTGGCCTTCCAAAGTGCTGGGATTACAGGCTGAGCCACCAAGCCCACCTACTTTCCCTATTTTAAAGGTCTTCTAATGTTATGTTGTCTGCATTTTTAAAAAATTTGAACACTTCTTATTCCAGAAAATAATAATGTAGGCAACTTGCTTGAATACTTTTAACCTTTTAAATAGTTGTAAGATTATGTCTTGTTTATTTTTCATGCATTTAGCACAGTTATCTGAATATCAAACCTGCCCAAATTTTATTGAATACATTTAGTTAACTCAATTGTCCATCTTGCATGTCTCTCAATTTTCCAGCTTTCAAGGATCCTATTTTCTTTTAATGCAGTGTTTTAATACAATGTCTAAAGGCCCTATTCTGCATTTAGTAAGAAGCTCAGTGCTCTTTTGCCACACGATGTTTCTGAATATTATAGTTTTGGGGAGGGTTCCAATTTTCGTGATTGCCACTTCCATTGTTTTTCGTTGAATTCCTGTTGTCAACCTCACTCTGCAACTTGTTTCTTGAGATTGTCATTCCATTTGCTATACTGGATACTACTCTACTGACAAAAGAATGTTGTGTGGTATCCTCTTATCGATGGCTTGGAAAATAAAGGGGATTAAAGCATATCATAGCTTTATTTTTGTTTGTTTGTTTGAATTGGGGTCTCGTTCTATCACCCAGGCTGGAGTGTAGTGGCATAATCACAGCTCACCACAGCCTTAACCTTCTAGGTTCAGGCAATCCTTCTGCCTCATCCTCCAAAGTAGCTGGGATTACAGATGTGTGACGACCACAACTATTTATTTATTTATTATTTATTTATTTATGTTTTGTAAAGATGAGGCCTTGCTATGTTACCCAGGCTGGTCTTCAACTCCTGGGCTCAAGCAATCCTTCTGCCTTGGCTTCTCAACATGCTGGGATTATAGGCTTGAGAAACTGCACCTGGACTATAGCTTTCATGTATTAATTCAATCATTTAGTAAACTTACAAGTATTCTTGAGTGTCTACTGGTTCTGTGTTGGGCACTCAGGAGAAACAATTTTCAAACAGGTAGAAGTCTCCACGACCACATAGCTCATACACTAGTCAGGAAAATATACATTTCACACAGGCACATAATAAATGTAAAATTACAACTAAGATTCTATAACAAAGAATATGTCCATGGTAGAATGAGATCTATGGTATTGGCTTGAATAAGAGCTGAAGGATGAGTAGACATTAACAAGCCTATAGCAGGGATAAAGGAGGGGGAAGGAAGGCATTAGGGAAAGAAATGATAGTATATGCAAACAAGCAGTAGCAGGTGGGACAGCATACATTCCAGCAACTGCAACAAAACATGTGTGTTAGGCATGCGTAGACCCAGGCAAAGAAAGAAGAGAAACAAGTGTAAAGAAACCACGCAAATCTACTTTCATCTCTACATTGGACACAGTCTACTTCATATTTTCTTAAGCCATTCATATCTTAGCCCTTCATATTCATATCTCATTTACTGCTGACTAGTTGTAGTATGTACATCTGCTAGGAGAAGGTTGCCTTTCTGTTGTTTTCTAGTTTTTATCCTATATGCCATGCCTTACCCTCAGAAATGTCACTTTTAATGACCCAAGATGGCTTACAGAACTACAAGGTGACATACAGTAGTCTCCACAGAGTAAGTACTTTTTGCTAATAATGTAGAATCAAAATGCTTAATAATGAATTATGTCTTACAAATCTGTCTATTTCTAGGGAGGAATACCTATGCTTAATGCTTGATCTGTTCTTGTGCTTTTTTGAAGGGAACATCCTTCTGTGTCAGAACTTCCCATGTTTCCATATCCAGATTTCTTCACCAAGGCGGATAAAGAATTGGCAAAGATAATTGACCATCATGTAAGATTGATTTTTTTAAAAGTAGCAGCAAAAATTTTGTTCTTTAAAAACACTTTGAATTATAAAATGTAGTTCTGATGCTGAAATATTAACATGGAATTTAAAAGTAGAGCTATGTTTGGTTTGCCACACTTAATTATATCTCACTATGCTATCTATACACCTCAGTGCCTTCATTGGGTTATGAACAAGCTGGTCTTCTGTCATTTGTGCACTACTAGCCCAATCCTTTTTCCTGAATTAGTACTGATTTTTTTGTGAAAACAATCTGATATTGAACACTGAACACTGATTTCTTCTGCAGTGTAGTTCTAATAAAGGAGCACAAATCTTTTGGCTCAATTTTCAGTGACATTCTTTAACCTTGACAGATCAGAAAGAATGTTAATCACTTTGTTCTTAGTATGAGTTAAACAAACAGTGGCAATACCAGGCTATTCACATAAGACACTTTAATTCATTTGATACATTTAGTCAATAATTTCTTACCAAGTGCACATCATTGTATACCCATTTTTAGGAGTAGAGTTAGAGTATAGACAAAAATACTTGTTTTCTGTTTTTTTAATACAATATGGATTCAATAGCATTTACAATGCACTTACATTAATGTTATCACCAGTAGTTCAGTGTTATCTATCAGATTGTGATTATATTACCATAATTAATTTTTACATTTCATTTAATTAGTAATTTTGTTACTAATAAGAATAAGAGATTGTTTTATTTAAGAATCACATTGAATAGTTATTTATCACATAGCTAATATTAAAGCCACTCTAGCAATAGCTATAAGTAGTGGGTTTTGAAGACAGATATCTTTGAATCGCAAAATTAGAGCTGTAATGTCACTAATAAAGTTTTTGGTAAAATGATATACCGTATATACAGCCATTCTAAAGAACTTCTAATCATTTGTAAATTTTAACATCTATATTTTTCTAAATAATAATTTCACTAATCTAGAGTAAATTACAAGAGATAGCAACTTGCCAACATTGTGTGTGTGTGTGTGTGTGTGTGTGTGCGTGCGTGCGTGTGTGTGTGTGTTTGTGTGTGTGTACACAACGATAACTACTTTGGACTGCCAAAGGCCAGTTAAAGAGACCAAAGATAGTATTTTGAATGAAAGAGATAGCTCCTGACAACCATCATCTTTTCCTTTTTCCAAAGGTATAAGCATTATCTAAGTAATGACTGTCATGGGTTTGCTTAAAAAGGGTACAGGAATCCTTTACAAAATTATACATGAGAATTTATAAGATCCAAATTGTTTGATATGTGCCTAGTCTATCAAAGTCGTTAGTAATTCACAGCATTTATTTTGAAAGGTTTATTCAAATATCTCTTAATATTATAAAGTATTAATATATATGTCTTTTCAGATGACTATAACAATAATGCTTTGTACTTATGCTTTACACTTTATAAAATGCTCTCACATTAGTAAATTTAATCCTTACAAAATACCTATAAAATATTTAACAATTAGAAGAATAAATTAGTTGTTTACAATTCAGTTACTTGGTCAACATTTTGGGGTTAGTAAATGATTGAGTCTATGCACAAAGTCAGATTTCTCTACTCCAAATCTATTCTCCTTTTCTCTTTTTCATAGCTGCTCAAATTATTGGCTTATAATCCCTAACCAGAATTGGGGGTGCAAGGGTGGGGTCTGTAATACTAACAAGTAATAAACACACATTCCTGCAGCTATACATACACAATGTTCTTTCTAAACCAACTGACTTCTGGCTATAATGTATAAGAAATAGAGAAGATACCTCATTGCTCAGCAGATATTAAGACACCTTGCACATTGCTGGTATTGCATAGCATAATCACTGAATTACGGAGTGAATTAATTGAATAAAATAGTAAATGGTACTTCCATTTCTCATCAACTTCAAACATATCTGTGTCCTTCTAGCTACCACAATGAACAATAATAATGGTAGGTAAAAGTCAAAACATATAATAATTTATTCAAATTGAGCTTGTCGCTGTTAGAAGAGACAAAAAGAAAGTTTACTTTTTCTCTGGGCCTAATGAAAAGAAGAATTTTGATGTTATGGCAAATTTCAGCCATGCCAAGTTCTAAGCTGGGGGGTGGGGAAGGAGAACTATCTCTTGGACAATAGTAATATGATACATTTTCTTGGATGCGTTCATATATATTGATGCCTTTTTACATGCTATTTGAGAAGCCAAAGAATTCTATTTTACTGACAGTTCTGGCTAGTTTTTTTGCAATGCAAGAAACAAAATCATGCGACACGTAGAAATCATTTGTATAAGAGAGATAAGTGCTCTTTGTTATAGATAACGTCATTATTATACCAACTACAACTTCTATGTTAACAAAATTAATAGTTTTTGTTAGACAAATATTTTTTAGTTTACTATGTGAGAAAAAGAATGTGCCACTGTTAAGTATCATAAAACTTGTAGACTAAACCGACGCATGAATTCTAGCCTGTGCCTGAATGTCCTGGATAATGTGCCTCAATTTCCTGCATATTTCATGCAAAACTGGTTTTTGAGAATGAAGCATATGAGGAATAATATGTATAAATACAGTCTCAAGATAAATACAGTTAACCTTTTCATTGTTTTGTGTCATTAAAAGTTAACTGAGGATAAAATAAGTGAATATAATTTTTTCTTCAATTTTTGCTGATTTTTCTGAGTTTGGTGACATTTTACAAAATTAAATTGCCTTTGGCAAGGCTGAGTGACATGGACTTTGAGATTTGGTTCTGTTTATATTTGTATATCCCAAATGACAAGTAGTAGTCATGATTTATAGCTCTGGTATACATAGTCACGTATAAATTAATTGATAGGTTGCTGATCACAGTCTGATAATTTGCATATATGCCTGAATTGTGGATACAGCAGCATTGTCAGTGTCCCTAGGAATTTCCACCATTTCATCCTCAGAGTCATTCTGCCATGAACCTTTTACCCTGAAGACAGTTTTACAATCTGCTTTTACCATTTCCCTCATCAAATGTTTAGAAGGGAAAAAAATGTCCTTATGGTGACTTTTGGTTTATTTATCACCATTATTTCCAACACTGTTACTCATGCCTTAGGAATCTCGCCTTCAGTTACCTGCTATTGGCATGAATTAACACGGTCAGTTAAAGTAAATCCCTTAGAAGTGTCATTACTGGTCTGCTGCATAGCAAGCATTTGTCTAGCCACTAATTTCATTTCGAATATTTATGAGATAGTATAGAGTTTTTGCCTTTAATTTGTATTTTCTGTATATGTTTATTTTTGCTTTGCTTTTGCTTATTTTTTTCATTTTATAACCCATGCTTTTGTGTAAATACCAATATTGATGAAGAAAGCAAAATCCTTTGAGATACAGAAATATGAAGCCTATTATTTCCTTTTTTGAATGATTTGTTATCTTAAAAAAATATTAAAAGGAAATTCTGTTTTTCTGTGTGTGGGATTTATATGTATTCTAACAAGTGGCACATATATTTTGCCAGTATGTTAAATATAAAATTTCCTAGGAATGTCTGTGAAAAAAAAAAAAAAGAAAAACTAAGAGGACAATTGGATACAAGAATCAGTATTTTGAGAAGCTAAATTGATATATATTTTTTTAAATAGAAAATCATATGTAAATGAGATTTTCTCTCTGTAACAGTGGCAGGAAGAGCTAAAGATTCGACAGAAAGAAGATGCAATAAATAAGGCCAAAGAACTTAAAGATAGAAAGTTAGCAGAGAAAAGTCGCTTCCAGGAAGTTATGAAGAAAAGAGAAGAGAAACTACATAAACAAACCAGACTGTATGAACTTCCTCACAGGACTGAAGTAATTTTATTAGAAAAGAAAATGCCACTCCCCAAAATTGAAGTCCATGTGCCAAAATTCATAGCACAAAAGACACCAAGATAGCTTCATGTTAGGAGATCTTTCTTGTAACTAACTTAAGGAGTTGTTATCCTGGTGTAAGCTGTTTAATAGTCATTTCTTACTCCTAAATTAATAGTCAGTTTTTAATCACACTTGAGTGAAGTGATTTCATCCATTAAAAATTTCCAGGACTACAGCTAGTGCTTTTCCAGTTGGCTCTTATCTCATAATTATACAGCATTCTTGATAACTGAGTATTGATATTCATTGGGCAGTTAGATGGGAATGAGTTACAAATTAATTAATGAGTCACTGTATAAGAATTATTTTTCAAAAATAAAATGAACATTCGTTGATACTCCTGTAATCACTATTATTCAAATAAAAATGTTATAGCACCTCTTTTGTTTTGTATTTCACAGTCAATTTATGTCAAACTAAATCCTATGTCAGAGACTTAAATTTGCTAAATTACTGGATATAAGCAAATCTGGAAGGACCGGTCATTTTAGATTGATTTGATCTTTAACAGATGCCAAAAGAGATTCCTGTCACTGTGGTTTTACTTTGCCCTATACGTTTATGAGAATGGGTTTGGATGGCCCTGGATCTCCAGTAGCAATGATCGAAGGGATTCACACAATCACAGGTCATTTTATAAATGGCACTTCACTTCATCTGAAGTCCTCAATCCATGGTTAATGGATTGGAATTCCTGTAAGGTCTTATCTTCCTTTACTGAAAAATATAGACGATAACCACACCTCAGTTTCACACAGGTGCCTTGGTGATACTCAAAAGGCAGTGACATTATCAGGAGTGTCAAACTTGACTACACAGGTCAGGAAGGTAACATAAATCAGTGAAGGGGACTAGGCAATATAGATCCTATCTAAGATAGTTCCCACCACTTGGCTACATTCTGAAATGTATGTCCAGTGTTGTAAGATTATCCAGTCTTTCAAGGAGAAGCCTTCAAATGGAATTTTTGCAAGTTTCTAATTGTTGACAAATAATATTTTAAAAGTTGCAAATTTTCAGGTTAAATTTGACACGTGGGTCACAAGATTGTAACCTGTATTATGTTAATTTAAGGTATCATTCTTTAAGATAATGATACTATATGGTAGAAAAATGTTGAAGGTGGATTCCTGCTATAATTTCCTATACAGAAAATTCAAACTTATGTTCTTTCTGCTCAAATCTTTTGTCTCATCCTTATGTCCTTATATGGAGAACAGGCAAGTTCTTGGAAATACATTTCCCAATGCATTTTTTCCCCCAAATACCTTCATCTATCTTTTTTTTTTAATGTGAAGAAAAAACAAAAACAAAAACCTCTTTTACAGAAGGCCAACCCATCCCTTTTCTCTGAATCTCATGCCTTTCAAAATCTTGTTCCATCAACTGTTCACTATCTTCTTCTAAGTCCCTATCTATCACTCACCTTTAAACCCACAGAGGTTTCAATTTTATTCCATCCTTCCATCCAAAGTATCCTCCAACAAGGCCTTGGTGACATAAGCCTTACTAATCCCTGATAGTCCTTTTAAGTTGTAATCATTCTATTGGGTTGTGGGGAGATATAACCATCGGGCTGTTTCGTTGTAGGAAAGGAACTTTGAGATTGACCTGCTACAAATCCTTATCTTTATAGAAAGAAACCTGGAGTCTCCAATTTCTGAACTTTTCTGGCATTCTGAGACATGGCCTATTGTGCTTAAGGTTTCCCCATTGCAGAATGAGTGGGTTTTTTTTTTTCTGTTCTTCTTTCTACTTGTTCACCTTCTTTCTAAGTTTTACAATTTTAAAAATATTTTCAGTGTGCTATTATCTTTTCTCCATATGGATTCATGCCTTTTTAAGCAACCCTTTTGCTGTCATAGTAGTGGTGATTTGGCAGGGAGCAGAAAAAAATCTATATATAGATACATGAAGAAAGAGAAAAAATGTCTGGGGGTAGTTAGTCAGAATACTCATACATTTACTCTTAATATATTCTTTAAAGTTTGGTGACATGCATCTCTTGTGGTCTTCCTCTATGTCTCTGATTTTTCCTGAGATATTAGCAAAGATTGTGGTTTGTAGATCTGGGATCATGTTCTGTTATACCTCCTGCTGGCTATGAAACATTAGGCAAGTTACAGAATTCCTTTGCATCATCATTTACTCATTTATAAAATTGACACAATTTATGTAAAGGGTGGTCAGAAACGATGGAGGAAAACAAACTTATCAGTCATTTTAACAGAGAGAATTTAATGTAAGGACTTATTTTCAAAGATGTCAGAGAACTGAGAAAATGAAAAGGAAACAGAGAAATAGCACAGAAACCACAACTGCTGGAAACCGCTACCACCTTTGGAGCCACAGAATCAAAGAGAATAGCTTTGGATTATTAAAATCTAGGGCTTGCAGGAGGCACCTAACACAGTAGAACTCAACTATCTTCTGGAGAGACATGCCCAGCTATTGCTGATACTTCTGAGGGGGCACAATATAGCTGATTCTGGAAGTGCAGGGGAAAATAATGAATAAATTGCCTCTTGCTGAAACCACGCTGCCAGGAAGAGCAATACAACAGAAATAATCAAGTTTTTTCTTCCTCCCCATCCTAAAACTTTTCCTCATGTACTTCCTGCTCCCCAGCATCACAGAGAGAAGAGGGGTGGGCTTGTAGTTGAAGGAAATGTTGAATAACTGGAAAATTTTGTAGCCTAGAACATATCAGACCACGCAGCAAAAGTTAACTTCCCCTTTTTTTCTTTTGCATCTTAGGCACTCTTTTCTAATTTCTCAAGCTTTCCAGGACACACACACACGCGCGCGCACACACACACACACACACACACTTAGAAGAAAGTGTCACTTTTTAAGTTAATATAAATGGCGTAAAAAGAAACCTTACTGCAATTTATTTTAATAACTAATCCTTAATTATTCCAATAAGTACTTAATTTAACATAGACTCAATTAGAATTTTTTGTAATTTATGTTTCACATTAGCTTCGCTTTCAAACTTCACAGAGGGTTCTGAGTCTCAGATTGGGTTGGGCACCAGATGGATTCTTTTAGCTTTTTTCATGTCGTTTGGCTTATAATTTATCAGCCTCGCTTATTTATTTTCTCATTCTTTCTGCTTAAGTTGATAGGAGAAAAAAAGAGAAAGAAAGAATTTCTATATCTATCTACTGTATACTTGTCTTAGTCACCTTTAAATTCCTCTTCTGTCAACAAGTATAAACTTATCTCAGTTCTAAATTTCTTTATATCTAAAACTTGTTTCATCTATATTTATTTTTATTTTAAAATAAAAAAACTCAAGTTTTCCTACATTCATCCATTATGAATTTTCTGTAGGATTTTCTTAGTAATCGCCAAAACAACTTTTTTTCACACAAACTGCCTCATAGAACTTCTGACTTATTGAGAATGGAATATTAATAAAACATTTAACTAGTTTCACTAGAGTATCAGGAATTAAAAGACATATGGTAGGAGGAAAAAGAAAAATACTGTAGTAAATTCTGAGTAATATAAGCATGAACATAACTGTTTCTCCTAATGCACTTGGAAAAAAATCAAATGATTTACAAAGACTGGTGGGGTATACGAAAGAATAGTTAAAGGAAGAAAATATATAAAATCAACTTTATTCATGCATTGGTAAGTGGATGTTTAGGGAAAGGGAGATATAGGCAAAAATAATTTATACCACAATTTTAGAAGCTCTATATTTTAATGTTTAACAATTATAATTCAAATAATTGATTCTTCTGCTCCTAGTTACAAAAACCTCTCTAGAACTAGTTACTAGTTGGTTATTGAGTGTTCTCTCTCATATTTTCATTTAACATGTCAATAAATTTGAAGAAAGTTACAGTATATTATCAATAAATTTTTGTATTGTTTAAAAGCCATAAAGTAGCAAATGCAGTTTCTTCCTCTCATATACACCATAACTGTATTACTGTGTTCTTACCACATCGTTCTACAGCAGGGATTTTGACATTCCAGGCTGGATAATTATTTAATATGAGGTTTTTCTATGCATTTTAAGCCCTTAATCAGCATTTCTGGTCTTTATCCACTAAATGTCAGTAGCTGCCCCACCTCCCCTGCATCTGCCAGATGGGACAACTAAAAGTACCCCAAGGAACAAAATTACTCTTGGTTGAGAAAATCTGTTCTATAATTTCACTAACTTGACATCTAAATTTCAAAGCTATCTGTTTGGGAATTGCTTTCTGGTTACTTTTAAATTTTGTCCAACTGTTCACTCACTAAGCCTTCACTTTGGGTCAGCCAGCCCTCACCTTGGGTTTGCTGGTGATTCTTAATTATAATCACCATAGGTCTCCTGAAACCTCTTTATTCTTCCTCACATCTCAGTTTGCTGAAGTAAAATGAACAAGAACACCCTCATTTGTTTTATGTGTGATTAATCAATGACACTTTATCATCTCCTCTGTGGACTAAATACAGAAGAAGACAGAGAGTCATGAAAATCTGTTGTGCCAATGCCTATGTAGAAAAGATATGTCTAGTAACAAATTCAGACCACACTGCACTTCTCAACCTCAGGTTGGCCACTGGATTTGTAAGCTTCCTTGAGCTCATTTTAGTTATATTCTCTAAAATACAGGATGTATTGGCAAACTCAGAGCAAAATGAATTTTAAATTATCATCTTCTACAACATAAACTCATATATTTGTACAGTCTTGCAAATTCTGCTGATGACTTGGTTACTTTTGAGCTACATGCATTTTTCATGGTGACAGTTTTCAAGCATAATTTGGCTTTAATGTTATTCAAGCTCACTTTTCCCTCCAATAATTCTAGCTAAGGGACCTATTTACCTAATACCTAGTGCCTTATTATTTTTAAAAATTCCTCTTTTATTGGAAGGCCAAAAATAAACAAAAAGAAATGTATTTCCAAAACATTTTCTATTTGCAAGATCCCTGTGGTATTCAAATTTCCAGTGAAATTTGCTAACCTGACTCTATTTTGGAAAAGCAGTGGATATTCTTTTATGAATTAATGAGTAAGGTAGAGGTCAAACATATCAGAATAATTAATGCAGTTTTTAAATACATAGTCAGACTATTGACAATCCAGTAGAATTGAATGTTGTGAATAGTGTTTCAAAGCATGAAGAAATAGAAAATCTGAATAGACAATTCTGTTAATCTCTAGCTCCAGTGTTTCATTTGGCTTTCCAATCAAAATTTCCACAATAAAAATTAATGACTAGAGGGCACATACAACAGAATTTCTTCTATAGCATACATCCTCTAACATGATAACTAGGTTATAAGACTTACGGCCCTATAGAAGAGGGAAGGTGAATCTTAAGAAAGAAAAGTCTCAACCTGTTCTAGTTAGAGAGACTGTAAT